ACAAATTGCTATAAAATTACCGAAGTTTACAAGGATTTTCGTTGTGAGGCTCCCGGTGTTACTGGGACACAGTACCCATGCTACGTAAGCTTTCTCATCCAACAGTGTTTTTCCTCCTCGGCCGTTTCACTGCGTACATGTGCGGTTTCTTTTTCAAAATTATGATTACATGACAGTAAGGCGTCTCATTGTCAAGTAGGAATAGTGATATCCGTGACGAGAGCGCGTTACACAGTACTCAACAAGGACATTTGAAAATGGCTAAAGTCTTGCAAGTGTTTCTTTCGGGAGAGTCGCTAAACTAGCAGTTCCGTCAGGAGACGAAATGAGCACCAGGATCGCCAGCGGACTAACCAGCAAGTATTGACTGCGTCAGGGCAGTTAAAAAAGCTGTCAATAGTTTCAGAACCAAACTATGAATTAAAAACTTTTCCGACAATTTCGACCAGCGCTTTTTTAATTAGATCAACTGACGTATGAACACTGAACTGACTTTATCAAAACCAATAAGCAATTGATTACCTGATGAAGTGCAATGAACGAATTAAGTAGCAGTCCGCCGTCTTTGGTTTGAAAATTTCGACACAGTATATCCCATTCCTAAAAGCACTGAGAACTCAAAAACATGCTTCATCAATAACACCGATCAAACGGTTGTGGGGTGAATTCGCCAATGCTGCTAAACTCCGGTCACTAGAGGCTAGTAGAGTTATCATGCATTGCTTGCTTTTCGCTTATCAATTGCCATGAGCGTTGTTTTTCAGTAGATTGTTGGAACGATTCTGTTGCTAATCAACATGCTAATGCACGAAATGAGGCTGCAAGTGAAACAATTAGTCTGTTTCGTTTAGTGGGACAATGGGAAACGATGAAAGCGAAAAAGTTTTTTTTGTTTGAGAATGATGTTTTTTTAATGTAAAAGAACCTAAATTATATTTTGCGAACGCCTTTCCATCGGGGGATGCTCGGCGAAATAGAGGAAAACGTTTTTCTCTGAGCTTTAGCTAAGGAGAATTTATTTTATTTTTGTGTTGAAAATGACAAGGTTGTGCTATGCCTCCAGACTGATCTGTCCGAAAAAAATGTTGCTCGAGATGCCATTTGGGAATAGGACGACGTCTCGTAACACTGGTCCATCCTCTGCAATTAGAGGATCAGCTCGGACTGCAAAGCCGAATGCCCCAATTGTCCTACCGTATTTAATGAATCTTCGCCAAAATAAGCAATCAGCTAAACTGGGTTTAAATTTTGTCCGAATTTTCGCCATAAGTCAAATGCGAGCACACAATATGATGAATTAATTGTCAGGTTACGGTATTACATTGTGGTCTTTGAGTACCGTATTACACTGTGGTCTTTGAGAAGCAGTG